GCTCTGCAGTCTTCAGGTCGATTTCAGGTGTTGTATTTGCTGTATTTTCATGTTCCATGTATTTTTTTTAGTGAAGTTTTTGCCTTACCTTTCTACAATGCCATCTTTTCAAGCCTTTGATTTGGGTTTTTATAGGACCTTTTGAAATGGTTTGGCATGTGACATGGTGTATATGGTGATTAATATTTGGCTGAAAATTTTTCTGTAGGATAGGAATGTCTAGGTGACCATGTGGTATCTCGATATTCTTTGTCCATCAGAGTATGTTGGTTCATGTATGCTCCAGAGGACAGTTCTTGGTCCAGGATATTACTTGACTGTGAGTAGACTGTTAGAACCATGATAAGAATCCCTTTATGGAGGCCAAAATATTCTCAGGCAATCCAGTTTGGGTAATCTCCCTGCACTCTAGGTGACACCTCAATCCTACAAGAGAACTTGTTTCTCAGATTGAGAGAGAATTCACCAGCCAGCTGAGTAGGTAAAACTGAAGAGAAGTTAAAGCAAAGTACACACTCAAAGAGGGAATGCAGGCGTCCTGCTCCAGAGGTGAGCACCTGGATGGTCTTTCATCTAGTGAAGAGTGAGCACAAACTTAACTTTCCAACATTAATAGGATTTTGTAACTATTTGGTGAAGCCAGCATCTAAGGCAATACTAAAAGCCTTGCCAAATTTAGTGGCATTTGAAGGGATCTCTCCAGAATGCGTGATCTGATGTGTAGAGGTGAGACTTGAGCCAGTGCTTTGGTATACTCACCGTATTTGCAAGTCTTACCTTCATTATGAATCCTCCAATGACACGCAAGGCATTATTTCTAACTGAAGACATTGCTACTCTCATTATATTTGGAAGGTTTATCTGCAGTATGGATTACCTGATGCTTTCTTTGGGTTGATCTGAAACTAAAGGCTCAGCCACACACAGCACATCTTTTAAGTCTCTCCATTGTGCATTTCCTGATGATTGGTAAGGTGTGAGTCTTGAGTAAAGGCTTTACCACACTCATTACATTTGAAAGGTTTTTCTCCAGTATGGATTCTCCTGTGATTTTTAAGTTGTGAGTTTTGACCAAAGACTTTGTCACACTCGACACATTTGTAAGGTCTCACACCAGTATGGATTACCTGATGGTTAGTAAGAGTTGACCTCAAACTAAAGGCTCTGCCACACTCCTTACACTTGTATGGTTTCTCCCCAGTATGAGTTCTCCAATGATTTGCAAGGTATGAATTTTGACTGAAGACTTTCCCACATATGTCACATTTATATGGCTTCTCTCCAGTATGGATTTTCTGATGTGTAGTAAGGTTTGTGGCCCTAGTAAAGGTTTTGCCGCACTCATTACATGTGAAAGGTTTCTCTCCACTATGGATTCTCATGTGACCTTTAAGTTTTGACTTTTGACGGAAAAGTTTGCCACACTCATTACATTTGAAAGGTTTCTCTCCAGTATGGATTCTTTTGTGACTTTTAAGTTTTGAATTTTGACTGAAGCCTTTACCACACTCATTACATTTGTAAGGTCTCTCTCCAGAATGGATTACCTGATGCTTACCTAGAGTTGATCTACACCTAAAGGCTTTGCCACACACATTACATTTGAAAGGTCTCTCTCCCGTATGGATTAACTTGTGCACAGTTAAGGCTGATTTCCATGTAAAGTCTCTGCCACACTCATTACACTTGAAAGGTTTCTCTCCAGTATGGATTCTCATGTGATATTTAAGTTTTGAATTTTGACTGAAGACTTTGTCACACTCTTTACATTTGTAAGGTATGTCTCGAATATGGATTAGTTTATGATTAGTTAGGATGGATCTCCACCTGAAGTCTCTGCCACAGTCATTACATTTGTATGGCCTCTCTCCAGTATGGATTACTTGATGCCTAGTTAACATCGAAATCCACCTAAAGGCTCTGCCACAGTCATTACATTTATATGGTCTCTCTCCAGAATGGATTATCTGATGTCTAATGAGGCATGAGCTGTGAGTAAAGGCTTTGCCACACTCAGGGCATTTGTAAGGTTTTTCTCCAGTATGGATTCTCCTGTGGTATTTAAGTCTGGAGTTTTGACTGAAGAATTTGCCACAATCATCACATTTGTAAGGTCTCTCTCCAGTATGAATTAACTGATGGCTAGTTAGGGTTGATTTCCCACGAAAGGCTCTGCCACACTCATTACATTTGTAAGGTCTCTCTTCTGTATGGATTACTTGATGCAGATTTAGGAGTGACCTCAATCTAAAGGCTCTTCCACATTCACTACATTTATAAGGTCTCTCTCCAGTATGGATTACATGATGTTTAGTTAGGGCTGATCTCAACCTAAAGGCTCTGCCACACTCATTACATTTATAAGGTCTCTCTCCTGTATGGATCAACTGATGCATAGTTAGGGTTGATCTCAACCTAAAGGCTTTGCCACACTCATTACATTTGAAAGGTTTCTCTCCAGTATGGATTCTCATGTGATTTTTAAGTTTTGAGTTTTGACTGAAGACTTTGCCACACTCTTTGCATTTGTAAGGTTTCTCCACAGTGTGGTCTGCCTCATGGGAAGTCAGGCTCGAACTCAAACTAAAGGCTCGGCCACACTCATTACATTTGTAAGGTCTCTCTCCACTATGGATTACCTGATGCTTAGTTAGGGCTGATCTCAACCTAAAGGATCTGCCGCACTCATTACATTTGTAAGGTCTCTCTCCACTATGGATTAACTGATGGTTGCTAAGGCTTGATCCGTGAGTAAAGACTTTACCACACTCATTACATTTGAAAGGGTTCTCTTCAGTATGGATCCTACTGTGCTTTTTCAGCTGTGAGTTTTGATTGAAGTCTTTGCCACACTCGATACATTTGTAAGGTCTCTCTCCAGTATGGATTACCAGATGCTTAGTTAGGTTTGAACTCAAACTAAAGGCTCTGCCACACTCCTTACATTTGTATGGTTTCTCACCAGTGTGAGTTCTCTGGTGATTTCCAAGGTATGAATGCTGACTGAAGACTTTCCCACATATGTCACATTTATATGGTTTCTCTCCAGTATGGATTTTCTGATGTATACTGAGGTTTGAAGCCCCAGTAAAGGCTTTGCCACATTCATTACATTTGAAAGGTTTCTCTCCAGTATGGGTTCTAATGTGATTTTTAAGTTTTGAGTGTTGACTGAAGATTTTTCCACAGTCTTTGCATTTGAAAGGTTTCTTTCCACTGTCGTCTGCCTCATGGGAATCAAGGCTCAAATCTAAACTAACAGCTCTACTACTGTCCCTATGGATTATCTGATGTCTAGTCAGGTGTGAAACCTGACTAAAGGTTTTGCTACAGTCTAGACATTTGTAATGTTCTCCCCTGTGTGTTTTCTGTTCTTGAATCTCTACTGAAGGATGCATAAAACCATTCTGATATTTTTTAGAATTGTTGGCTTCAAGGCTAGAAGGAATTCTTTGAAGTTGTGAAAATGAAATATTACAGAGAGACTTCTTAACTTCATTACAATCATGATTTTCCCCATCATTTTGAAATACAGGTAGTTGATCCTGACAGGTTACTCCAAGCCAATTTTCAAGGGGCTTGTTTCTTGCATCCCTGCTACTATGTTGATTTTTTCTAACAGTGAGATGATTTTTATGGATTACAGGCACTTCTTTGTAATTACTTTTATCATCTTTCCATTGACACTCAATATCATGAGGATTTTCCTCGATTTCCCTAAAGTACAAGTCTATGACTTCATGGCTTATATGTCTCCACAACATCAGTGTTTGGAATGTTTCTCTATTACCATCATCTTTTGGTTGTAACTTCTTGTTCACATCTGAAGAACAAGCATCTATAAGATATAAAGGACCACAGGTATCCTATTAATTAGTCTGTAAATAACTTTTTCATGCTGAAAGCATAATTACACCAAAAGTAATATACTAAACAGATTGTAAAACTTCCCAACCAGGATCTTCAAATCTGGGGGAACTCTAGAAAAATACAGTGCTTCACTAAACAGTGATCACCTAAATTTCAAAGTAATGTTTAGAGGACAACCTAGATTCAAACACCCTACAACACAAATACTCATGTTGTGCAAACATTTCAGCTCTCAAAGAAAGGTTTTCTTAACACTCTGACCCCAAAGGGCATACCACCTGGCAGTAAACATACTATTGTGAGAGAAACGGGGTTTGATCCTGGACCTACCAAATCAAAAATGTT